AAGGTATTATGTGTGGTTCTGTATAGTTTATGGCCCTGTGCTAGAAGGATGATAAAGGCACTTTCTGTGTTGATCGCCTAGGGAAAATCTTCTGACTTGTGGAATTAGCCTCAGTGATAAGGGATGTGTTTGCTGGAGTTGTAACCAAATAGTATCAGGGAACAGTTAGCACTGATAGGCAGTTTATTCTGGACGGAACTTGTTAGAGGCCAAAAGGCCATTGTAAGGGTGTCCCTGCTTACACCTAATGCAAAGTGGCTTCACACTGATTGGCATTTGGGAAGGCTGATTGGCTGGAGAACTCAAGGCTGTGAAATGGTTCCTTAGAAAGTGCCCCACCCAGGAGGAACATGGGCCTTTCCTTCAGAATGGAAAGGCTGGAATCAAGGCTCTCAGGGTCCATTTCCTTTAAGGACCAAAGTTCGAGCATATTTCATCCAGAGAAACCTGCCAGACACTCGGCTAGTAAGCCACAGTAATGAGAAGTTCTGAGGCCAGGCAGAGGCCAATTATGGGAGATGTTTTCCCACCAGATTCATTCTTAAGGAACACACGCGCTGTCTGGGATGTGTGTTTAAAAGCAAATTGGGCTTCATGTCCAGCTTCAGGCTAGAGAATTCTTTGAAGTCCCATTCGCAATGGCAGAGTCATGGCCTCTGGGACCATTTCTAGCCAGTAATTCCATCCAGTTTCCCTCGACTCAGTTGATCTATAACAACAAAGAAAGTGGCTGCCTTAACATAAACAGTCCTGGAAGAGAAGCAGGAGGCCCTGTCCTAGGACTGTGAAGACTTAGCTTCTCAGCTAAGCAGCTGTATCTCTGGGCCTCCCCGCCAAAACCTGGCCCTTGGAACAAAGGAATACTTCAGTGACTTCTCTCACTGTTTTAAAACAAATGGCTGTGGGAGAAAGAAAGGCTCAAGGCCAGGGCACTGCTCCCAGTATCCATCTCCTCCCACAGCTGCCATATCTGGGAGGGGACCTGCTGAATGTCCTTGTTGTCCCGAGGGCAGTATTGAGGCTGCAAGAACTGGCCACAAGGATAAGAACTGGGAGAGGGATTTGGGGGAGGATTTGGGCAAGGGTGGCATGCAAGGGTAGAAAAGTTCAGTATGAAAGAGCTGGGCTGAGAGTAAACTGGTTAACTTTGCCACTCACTGTGGTGCTTTTTCCCTTTGAATTCTGCTTTGAAAAGAATAAATTTGTACTTGTTTACTTTGGTTCCTCTGGTTGTTCTCTAATTTTGATATTCACATGTTTCCCTTATTTGGGGGTGAGAAGAAAGGATGTATTAAGAAGCCATACAAACATTCCAAAACATAAAACCACCACAAAACCATCTAAGACCACTGCCTGTGCAATGATTTGGTTCCATCTGCCACTATTGACCCCTTAAGGCTTCCCCTCCAAAATTAGCTGGTTATTGCCTCATGGGATGAGCTTTGTATAGCAACGGCTCGAAAATTTCATCATCACCAATTTGAGGAATTATTCACCAGCTGAAGCAATATAAGAAAAATCAGGGTACTGAAGTAATTTCCATAAAGTTGCATTTATTCAATAAAGGTCTATCCTCTAGTGTGAGATTGTAGCTATATATATATATATATATATGTGTGTGTGTGTGTGTGTGTGTGTGTGTGTGTGTGTGTGTGTGTGTTTAAATGTCCCTATGAATTGATGGTGATTTTCTAAAATTCGATTTTATGGTGAAATAAAATCCTATAGGTCCTTCTCCCCCAACACTAATTTTTCTTTCCTCATCAATTCACAGAAAATTTGTCCAACAGAAATGTAAGTCACATAAGTAATTTTAACTTAACATATTTAAAAAGTAAAAAATAAATAGGTGAATTAATTCTAATAATATATTTTATTTATCCCAATGTATCCAAACAGTTATCCTTTCAACATGTAATCAATATAAAAACTTTTTTTTTGTGGTACTGGAGTTTGAATCCAGGGCCTTGTGCATACTAGGCAAGCACTCCACTACTAAGCTACATCACAACCCTTTTTAATGTTGTTTTTTAATTTTGAGATACGGTCTCAACTAAGTTACACAGGATGGCCTCAAACTCGCAGTCTTCCTGCCTCAGCCTCCTAAGTGGCTGGGATTATTGCTAGTGTGTGCCACCGTGCACACACTAGCTAAAACAATTATTAGTAAGATAGTTTACTTTTTAAAAACTATCTTCTTTGGAAGGGCCGGGTTTTGGCAGGAACTAACTTCTCCAGAAGTGTCAGACAGTCAGCTGATAAAAAAAACAAGAAAGCCAGATAGATCCAGACAGATAGATCTATTACTTATAGAGACAGCAAAAGCAAGATTAGTGAAGCTGTCACCTCTCTGAGTCCCCTGTTCCACAGGACAGCACTCAATTTAAAGGGGCTAGATGACATGCAACATGAAAGGTGGGACCCGTTGGTGTTGAGTGACCAATGCTACACTGCAGCTAATGAGTTTTATGGCGTACAGCCATACCCAGCAGGAACACAGCCCTATACCTTATAGGAATGAGGGAGGCAGGTAAGAAACTGCCTCACAGCAGCCTTCCTCCAGATAGGTGAAAGAAACAGTCTTGTAGCCACTCCTCACAAGACTATCTATCTTCACGTTTTGGGATGGTCACAGTGTACCCTGCCAAGACCTGAGGCAGCTCACAATTGAGTCTTGCTTATGTAGCCTATGTAGATAGTGCAGGATCATCACGGTCCTAACACCAAGTAGTTTTCCTACAGAAATTCTGTGTCTATTTTATACTTACAAAATATCTCAGTTTGGCCTAGCCATGTATCAGGTGTGCAATAGCTACACATTGCTAGTGGATACCACATCAGAGAGTACAGGTCTGTAAGATGCCAAAGTCAGAATCACCAAGCCATAGCAAAACTTCATGAGCTATCAGAGTATGTGTGCACGTGTGTGTGCATATGTACACGTGGTGCGGTGGGGTGGAGTTAGAGCAGTAAAAGCCTTTTAATGAGGAATATGGTGAAGCAGTTTTCCTGGGCTACATTCAGAAGTGGCAGCAGAGGGGATGGAAGGGCACTGAAGATACTTTAGCTTGCCCTTGTCCCTTCCTTTATCTGCCCTACTCCCCTGTCCCTCAGCAGAGATCTACCCACTCTCAGGCTGTAGTATCAATTAGAGGACACATGAGGACTCTTCTTCCTCTCCCTCCTGAATGCCACCCTTACTGGCCTGTTGCTCAAGGAGGTTACTTTTTATCTGTTTGCACTCCAGATCTCTCTGCCTTCAGTTATCTGGAAAGGCCTTTGTTTCAAATTCTCTGCTTTCCCACTTTCTCCCTCAGATAATTCCTTTCCCTGTTCTCTTTGTTCTCATCTTTTAGTCTCTAGGCTTCTGAGAAACAAATGTATATGTCTTCTTGCTTTTAAAGCTGTTCTCTAACTCCTCTCCTAATCCTGGCTTCATTTTGTTTTGTTTTGTTTTCTTTTTGGTATCGGGAATTGAACTCACAACCTCACACTTGCCAGGCGGGCGCTGTGCCACTGAGCTATATCCCCAGCCCCTATGGCTTCATTTTGTTTGAACAGGCCCGTGTCTTAGTCCTGCTTCTTCCCTTGCATTTCCCCCAGCATTCCTGCTGTTTTCATCCCACCTCCCAGTGCCCGCCCATATGTATTGACCTCTTCTCTACACGTGGCAAAATTATGATTTGGACTTCGGCACTAAAAGTGGTGCAGGCCAGGTGTGGTGTCACACGCCTGTAATCCCAGCACTCAGGAGGCTGCGGCAGGAGGATCACTGCGAGTTTGAGGCCAGCCTCAGCTACAAAGTGAGTTCAAAGCCAGCCTGAACTGCAGAGCAAAACTCTGTCTCAAAAAGACAGATAAAAGACAAAAATAAATAAAAGTGGTGCAGAAGTCTGGTGCAGTGGTACACACCTGTAATCCCACCACTCTGGGAAGCTGAGGCAAAGAAGTGGGAGATCAGTCCCAGCCTGGGCAACGTAGTGACTTATGGAAACCCTGTCTCAAAATAAAAGGGGGCAGGCTGTAGTTCTGGGTTCAATACCCAGTACCAAACCAAGAAAAAAAAAGTGGTGCACAGAACTTGTGAATATATTTTCTAGAGCAGCACCAACTTTTATCATTCGACGCTAGACCTAGGGCTAGCTGGGCTACTTCCAGAAAACCCAGAGTTGCCTCTTAGTGATTAGCACTGTCATCTTTGATTTACAGATGAGGAAGTAGGGGCTCTAAGAGGCATAGGGACTTACTGAAGGCATAGCTGGGATTCTAGCCTTATGTTCTTTACACCACCACGTGAAAACCCAGTCCAAACATTGAACCTGCGTTTATATCACTTCTCTATACCGCTTCTCTCCAAATCCCAATGTCATATGGTTATGTGATGATTTGCTTAGTTCATGAGACTTACTCTAAGAACTCTTTGGAAGAATGCTCCAGTACTAATAGTATTTTGTCATTTCCTAATCAAAGTCTAAATATGTCTCCCCCAAATTCATGCTGAGATATCATCTGCAATGTGATGGTCTTAACAGGTGATGCTTTCAAGGGGTGATTGAGTCATGAGGGTTACCCGCATGAATAGGACTAGTGGCCTTATAAAAAGCCTGAGATAGTTTGTCTATCCCTTCTGCATGTGAGGGTGCAGCAAGAAGGCACCGTCTATGAAGCAGATAGTCACCAGATACTGCATCTGCTGGCATCTTGAACTTGGATTTCCCAGCCTCCAGAACTGTAACCAATAAATTTCTATTGCTTATTAATTACTCAGCAGTGTGAATGGACCAAGACATACAGTTTATTACTTGTTTCCTTTTAAATATAAGTGTGCTCATTGTAAAGACAGTTTAATAAACTCACAGCAATTAGAGGGTGAGGGTTTAGCTAAACGGTAGAGCACTTGCCTATCAAGTAATGTAAAAGGCCTTGGTTGGATCCTCAACACTGCCCCCACTCAAAAAAAGTTGACAGCAATCTACTTAAAAGAAAGAATTTATTTATTGCTTAAAGAATACAGACCAGAAAATCACAATAGAGATGAAAATAAAAATACTCTAAAATGATTCAGGGTTGTTAAAGAACTGTTCATAGGCATTATAAGCATCTGAGTTTTCCTGAACTCTTCTAATGGGGATTAGTATGAGGAGGCTCAGAATAAGAAAACAGCTCAGAACTTTTCAACTCTCTTCTGACGGTTTCCTTACTTCATGAATAACAACCAGCCACAGTCCTAAATACACGACAGCTGTATAAAGATAAGCAGAAGCAAGAAATTATCCCTGAGCAAGAAAGCAGCCCTATTACCTGAACAGACAGGATATAAACTATTACTAACTGCTCTAAGGTAGGCACTTTAATTCACTGTGGCAGGTCCTAGCTCATGACAGAAATGAACTGATTTTTTTCTATGTTGTAGGAAATACTTAATCAGAAGGGTTTGGAAAAGCTAAAACACACTCAAATCAGTTGTATGACCTCTGAGGCTACAATGTCTGCCTTTGGCAAGCACAGGTGAGTCACCTGATGGCACCACGGCACAAAAGCAATTATGTCATTCTAAAATTGATAAGGAGAAGCAAAGTTCCATCACTGAGTAGGCTCTTTAAATCTACTACTTTTTAAGTACTATTTTTACATGAGTGTGAGCTTCTACTATGTTATCTCTAGCAAAAAGAAAAAAAAAAGGTTTAGAGGAACAGATGCAACTAAGGCAGCTGAAAGGACCAAGAGATGCACAGCTTCACCCAGACTTTAGTCTGGATGGTGGATCCAACGTTGATATGCCAGGTTGAACGCTCTCTTCATTTCTTCAGAAAATAGTTCAACTTCTCCTTTAGGGAAGCGATCTGTAAGGAAATGCAGAAAAGCATGAAAACTTCATCTGAAATCTTAAGTTCTACTATATCACTTTAAATTTACTTATATGAACCAAAAAGGAACAACTGTCATTTATTTATAAAGTTATCTCAGCCTTAAAATGTTCCAAAGAACAGTGCCATAGTCAAGAATACATCCAAAATGCTATGGCCATGACGTTATCATTTTTTATACAAAACCTCTAAAAGGAAGCTTTAAAATTAAATGTTTTTAAAAACTGAATATGTTTGCAGTTAAAAATCTATGCTTCTACTGGGCATGATTTTGCATACTTGTAATGCCAGCACTCAGAAGGCTGAGGTAGGAGGATCGCCGTGAGTTTGAGGCCAGTCTGGGCTGCAGAGTGAGCTCAAGGCCAGCCTGAACTATATAGCGAGACACTATCTCAAAAAGAAAATAATCTATGCTTCTGTGAAGAATAATCAGAGGTCAGAGATCACTGCCAGGATAAGGGTGACTGGATCACTACAGCCATATTCTAAGTGTCAAAACATAAGACAATATATTCTCTTTCCCAGTGAACACTTTGGCTCTAATACAAAGTATTCTCTTCTGCTTCTTGCTACATTATGAAACACTTAGAAACCAGGTCAGGGTCCTGATCAGTGATCAACCTGATGATGTTCTAACTTATGCTTTCTAAGTCAGAAGCCATGGAACCTTTATGGTGTGTGATTTAATTTTTTAAAACTTGAAATGGTAAGTGAACAATAATACTCAGATAAATATATATATATATATTTATATAAATATATATATTTATATAAATAATATATAAATATAAATAATATATATATATCTTGTCTTTCAGACAAAGATTTTTTTTTAGTATTATTCAATTTAGGTCACCTTACCAGTATGGATTTTCAGTCTGTAAAGTGAAAGGAAAAGAAATTTAAAAAAAAATCCGGTGCTGTACAACACCTACGAAACTCCTCCAGTTGCTGCCTATGGTAGTTCAGAGGCTTCTCACTCTGATGTTGAATGAGCCTGACTGATCATGCAGCGGAGCCAGTTCATGCTCCCTCATGGGTTCTTTTTCCTACCTCCCCCTAAAGGTATGCTCCCTTTATTCAAACTAGTTGCTGAAAAGTCAGCCTGGTTAGTTCAACTAACCTCCCATCTTCAATAATCATTTGTGTATGGATTTCTCTCCAGTCTCCTGTTTGCAGAAGCACTTCCAATGACAGTCCTCATCGCCCCCACACAACCTCTTCTGTTGTCTTAGTTTTAGTTAGTGGGACAGCATTTCCCATTCACCCTGGCTTAGGACTACTCTTTGATCCTCTTTTTGGCCTGTAAATCTGTGACAGTTTACATCTGGATTGTGTCCTAAAAGCAAAGGCTGATATGATAAAGGCCTGGTCGGTAGTCTGTTGCCTTTGGGAAATGATGGAACCTTTAAGAAGTAGGATCTGGTGGGAGGAATTAGGTCATTTTGGACATCTCCTCTAAAGGAAATGTGAGATTCTGGTCTCTTCCTCTCTTTCTCCTTTTTGATTCTCCAACACATGTGCCTCACCATGATGTAATGCTGCTACAAAGCAAAGAGGCCAACTGGTCATGCACTGAAACCTTTAAAACTGTGAACCAAAATAAACCTTTATCTCATAATTTGATTATCTGACGTATCTCTTATACCAGTGGAAAGCGAATACAAAATCCAATCAATTGTTAAGTTCTGGTTCCTTCTATCACTTGCACCTTTTACTAGTCTCTCCCTGTTTTTTTTTTTTTTTTTTGGTTTTTCTCCGGTACCGGGAACCGAACTCACGATCTTGTGCTTGCCAGGCAGGCACTTTGCCGCTGAGCTAAATCCCCAGCCCCTCTCCCTGTTTTTAATTTTATGAATATGCTGTGCCAAAGAAATCTTCTTGCGTTACTCTCTAGGTTTAAAAACAAAAACAGCTCTGGGGGCTCATCATGATCTACACCAAAAATCTAAACTCTTAGTCAGGCATCACTGCCTCTCAGCTATTATATATACTACATTATCATAGAATGCCTTCCTTTCCCTATCTCATTATTAAGACCCTACCTATATTTTATGGCCCCAGGCAAATACTATGTTTTCCTTGAAGCATTCCCTAGTTTCCACAGACAAAAGTGAACTCTCATTCCTTTAAATCCCTGCTTCTCTCAAGTGTCTGCCCAACTGAAGGAAGACAGCCTCATAAGCATTTCAAAGTTCCCTGAAGAACCTAGCTTCAAGGAAACAATGATAAATCTATGCTGAATAAAACAGCTAACATAAGACTCTTAAATAAAGTTTCCAGCTACATTTCTATGTTAGAATGGCACTCCTCAATACTAACTACTCATGCAAAAACAAAGATGATTGATGAACACTAAAACAATCTCGGCATTAACTTTTCACCTGGTTGTTTATAAGCAGTACCTGGATAAGTGATTTGCTGGGAGGAAGGGAATATATAGAACATAAGAAAGCCTCAGAGCCAGGTGTGATGGCACACCCTGTAATCCCAGTACTCTGGGAGACTGAGGCAGGAGGATCACAAGTTTGAGTCCAGCCTGGCCAACTAAGTGCCTTAGCAAGAACCTGTCTCAAAAGTAAAAAAATCAAAAAGAGCTGAAGATGCAGCTCAGTGTTAAGGCCCTGGGTTCAATCCCCAGTATTGGGATTTTTTTTTTAAAAGCATGTCTCTGAACTTGGAATGGGAGATAGGGCACAGTGCCCTAAGCCTATCCTCACAACACAAACTCCTGTTTTTTAAATTATTACACGTAGCAGTTTAAGGCTGGAGTCAGCATACATTTTCCGTACAGCTACTTGACCCTTACTTGTCTCATGCTACTCTCTTCTCTTTTTCACTCTGTATGTTCTCCTATGGCTTTGGATGATAGTCACTCAAGTTAGAAATCTGGCATATGGCCTTAACGCTTCCTTCTCCTTTATCAGCAAGTAATTGACTCAAGTACCATAAATCCTTAGATTATAGTCTGTCATGTACAACTATTCTGAGCAGCACTATTCATAACACACAAAAAGTAGAAACACTCCCAATGTCCATCAGTATATAAACAAATAAATACAATGTTCATATAATGGAATACTATTCAGTCTTAAGTGGAATAATGACTGATCTGTGGCACAAAATAGATGAACTTTGAAAACAGTTTGTTAATTAAAAGAAGCCAAGCCAAATACTGTTCTTTTTTTTTTTACTATTCTCTTTAAAGTAAAATAAAAAAAATCATACCAAAAAGGTATGAACTTGAGAGACTGATTTTTTAATAAAGCCAAACACAAAAGGCCATACATGAGTCCTCTTGTATCAAGTAACCAGTACAGGAAGTAGCTTACTATAAAGCAGATTAGTGGTTGACTATGGGTAGCAAGGGAGAAATTCAGATGAAATGGGAATGACTGCTATCAGTAGTGGGTGCAAACTTTCATTTGGGGGTGATGAAAATGTTCTAAAATTGTTATGGTGATGGTTTCACAACTCTTTGAATATACTAAAAGCCACTGAATTGTATAGTTTAGGTGGGTGAATTATATGGCATGTGTATTGTATCTCAATAAAGCTGTTATAAAATATTTTAGGCATAGGTATATAATTAGTAGTGTGCTTGCCTAGCATACACAAGGATCTGGATTCCAGCTTTAGAACCATAAAAAAAAAAACAGATGTCTCCCCCAAAAAATTCCGAATGTGCCCAAATAGGCCAAGTTCTTTTCCATTGCATGTGCTCCACCCAAGAAGCTCTTCATCCCACTTTACCTGTATTCATCCTTCAATTCCAGGCTTAAGTAACACTTTCTCAGAGAGCTCTACCATGATACCCCAACTAAATTCAGGATTCTCTTCTTTCTAATTGCATCAATGACTTTTTTCTCCTCCACAACATCTCTTTACAATTTGTGCGTTTATATTTATATGATAACTTTTTACTGTCAGTCTCCCCTGCTAGACTGTTAGCTCCATGAAGACAAGGATTACGTCTGTCTTATTCAACCCTACATCCAGTGCCTTTCACTCCACAGGCGCTCAATAACTCCTGAGTGAGTGAATTTTCGAAAAGGCTGATCTACCCTGCTACTCTTTTATTTATTTAACTTTTTGGGGCACCTCTTTTAGAAGTTTTGTCCACCACTATTTCTGTGAGAGAACAGCCAGGAATTAGGAGTGGGATGGAGGGGTTCTTTATAGTGAATGTTTTCTGGTTGATTTAAAAATATATTTCTTACCTGCTCATTTGTTTGTTTTTCCTGTATGTTAAGATTCTCCAGCACACATCTTAAATGGTTCTGGAAAACAAATTGTTTAAGAAGATGAATGCCGAGGAAGGGAGAACCAAGGGAGACAGAGTTTGTCAAATACTTTGAAATATAAGAAAACTGTCAGTCACTCTTTCTAAAGAGACTAGAATACAAAAATATCCACTAACAATAGTGTCATCCTATTTCATTTTATGCACTCTGCACAGTATTTTTTCTCACCCTAAAATAAATGGTAAGACTGTCTTCATGCTACCTATTTCTAATTTAATACAAATCCTTTGGCTGTGATAACTAACTAATTAACTAACTAACTAACTTGTTTATTTATTTTGGTGCCAGGAATCGAACTCAGGACCTTGCACTTGCCAGGCAGGTGCTGTACTACTGAGCTATAGCCCCAGCCCCTGTGATAATCTTTTTAAAAAGGTGGCTTGGAACCTGGCACTGAGTCTTCCTTCATTTCCCCTCACTCGGGCAGAATATTACTGCTCTTCACTAATGCTACATGCAACAATAGCCACAATAATACCAGTATCTATATCTTTCAGAATGTATCAACATCTGTTATTGTTGATTATTCTAAAGGACCACACCCAAAGTGAGTGTAGCTGTGTCCAGTTATTCCCCTTTGATAACCACTGCTCTACAGAAAATAAAATCTGACAAAGAATTCTCCAAGTTCTTTGCAATTTCCCTCTGTAATTAAGTGTTAACTTAACACTTCCTCAGAGAATTCTACCATGGAGGGAATAAACATGGCCTAAACATACATTTTCTTTTTGTTGAAGTTCGTTGCTTTTTCTTATAGCGGTCTCATACACATGCACTCTGGAAATCTGTATAGCAAATAGGAAAGCAATCCAGAGAGTACAGTCAGACTCCATTCCCTTTAACTTACGTATACCCACAAACTAAAAGCTCTACCTGTTTGCAGTTACAAACTGCACTATATACACTCTTCTTCCATTCACTTCTATGTGTTGAGGAATGCCAAAGAATATCTCAGGCTGCAAGCTCCATTTAAAACAACAGAACAAATTTGTGATCAGACTTCTAACCTAGAGTTCTTGCTAGTGAGAAATTCAGAACACTGCTGCCTCCTGCTTTTCAACAGAGCTGAATAGAACCTAATAGGCAATGCTGCTATTCATAATATAGTCCTTATGCAAATGCACTCTGAAAATTAGTATTGCAGACAGGCAGACATTAAACAGCACACAGCCAGGCTCCATTCCATATATCTAGCTTATGCCCAAACTTTGAGAGCTTCAGCTCTGAAGTTTCAACTTCACTTTATGAACTCTTCTATTCAGTTCTAAGGGTAGAAGAGTGCAAACTAAAATATGAGCCTCCATTTCAAATAGCAGAACAAATCTGTGATATCAGTTATACCTCTAATCTACAATTCAGTCTAGTGAGACATTCAGAGCACTGCCACCTCCTGCTTTTCAACAGAGCGGAGTGAAAATTTATAGCCAACTTATAGAGCCCTTATACTTGTGCTCTTGGAAAATAAGTATTTCAGATAGGCAGATGTTCCAGATTACAGCACCAGACTCCATACAATGTATCTAGTCTACCCAAACACTGAGAGCTCTAGCACTTTGCAGTTACAAATTGCACTTTATACACTATTCTTTCATTTACTTCTGTGGGTAAACAAGTATCAAGGAAAATCTGAGCCTGCAAACTTCATTTAAAATAGTAGAACAAATTTGTGATATCAGACTTCTTACAGTTCATGCTAGTGAGATATTCAGAATACTGCTGCCTCCTGCTTTTCTTTTCTTTTCTTTTCTGTTTTTAATTTATTTTTATTAGTATATATTTGCCCATTTATAATGATCACATTCATCATAGGGGCTTTGTATCTGTACATAATATGTCTTAATTCTTTTTCCTTATTCCCCTTCCTTCCCTTCAACTCTTCTCCTCCCCATTTATGCAAGCTTTGTTTTCATTCTTTCCCTTCCATTCTCTTTTTTAAAATCCCTTTGCCTTTCCCTCCCTTCTCCCTCCCCCTCCCTTGTTCCCCTTCGCATTTGAACATGTTCTTCTTACTTCCCAATATCTATCCTCTGTTTTGCTCCTTATTTACCCTTTGAGTTTCTCACACAAGAGAAACAGTGTGATATTTAAACTTGTGTGTCTGATTTATTTCACTAAGTTGTTGAAGCTTTTAAACATGTATTACTAAAATAATCCAAGATGTTTATTCCTGCTCAAGCATGTATCATAAAATTTGAAATTAATTAATTCCTTTTACTGAAACAAATACATTTTGGTACAAACAATAGGTTTCAGTCTATACCCTAGTATTCACTGTAGTCCTTGGCAAATCACTTAAAACCTCTTTGAGTTTCGATTCTTTACTTATGAAGTAGTAATAGTGACTACATTTATTGCAGGGATTCGCAGATGAAATGAGATAATGCATAGTTCTTTATGTGCTATTTGCACAGTAAATCCCCAGTACTGACAATTATTATCTTAAATCATCTGTCCCCCCACCAAAAAGCCTTTACTACATGTTCAAAATTATTCAGAACTATCTTTTATTTAAGGATTGTAAGAGGTGTTTGGGTTCATAAATGAATAAAAATACTGCATACAGATGACTTAAGTAGAAACACAAAGATGAAATTTTGAAAGTAAAATATCAGTATTTCTTTATACGAGCCAACAAGTACTTACCCTGAGGGCCAGGTTTTCCACTTTTCTGAAAATATTCTTCTGCCTTTGTGCTTTGATTTGAATCACATGGAGCTTTTTCTCCTTGTAATGAATATTTTTCTGAATTTCCATAACTAACAGAGATACAGAGAAACTTTATGTATCTAAATGCAGCATAAACTAAGGGACAGGCTCCCAAATCAAGTTAAAATCCGCATCTGAGCAAGAACTTCTCAAAGGTAGCTTTGCATCTAGTGTGTGTTTAGGGTTAGCCTTTAGCACTGCCACCTACCCTATCCCATCTGTTTGTGTTTCCCTCTGACTTACCTATTTCACGGGCACCTGTCTTAGTCTTATTCTGGCGATATTCAGTAATCTTGGCCTGCAGCTCCCTTTCTAGAGCCTCTTCAAAATGTTCATCCTCCTCTTCCTCCTCGTCCTCTTCGTCGTCGTTGTCGTCGTCATCGTCATCATCATCATCATCATCCTCTTCGCCCTGCTTTTCATCCTCATCCTCATTACCATGAATGTTACTACTGGAATCACTGAACAGCTCTCGAATTATATCATACTCTATGGGTTTTAAGTAAGAGAAAAGTGAAATGTCTGAAGCTTTGCAAATAATTCCCATTTCAGAAACAATTATACTTTTTGCTCTCAAACGGACTGGATAACCAGTGAATTTTATAAATCATTTTTCTTACAGGAAGATCATTCTCTTCATGAAACGAGGACAGGAAATATAAAATACTAACATGCATTCCTTTATTCAATGGCTACGACATTTAGAGAATCTAAGGGTCCATAGGAAATTGAATATGAGGGATGGATGGGAAATTAGAATTCCAATCTAAAGCCCTTTAAGTACTGGGGGCCAATAAGAGTGAAGAAGGGCAGTGTCACCCTTTTTCTGTTATTGACCTGCGAGTCTATGGAGAGTGATCTCTGACATTCAATCAACACCTGCTCCATCTAAAGCCTCTACTCTGCCTTTCCTAAAATACCTGTTGAGGTATCTCCTTGCTTGTAGTCACTCATTTCCAGGGATACTGGTAAGCCTGGAATGCTTCCTTGACTTTCTATATCCTTGGTATCATCATCAGCAATGACTTCCCATCCTGAAAGGAGGGAGCTGTCAAGGAAAATGCAGAAGGAAAGGAGAAGGCACAGCTGCCTGGGAAGAGGCACTGTGGCTAAAATTGCTCTTTAATTAAGTACAACTTTTGGTCATTTGTATCTAGTCCTAGTGTGGAGAAGTCCCTTATATTGAATTATACAAGTAAATAATATCTATTACAGGTATTTGTGTTCCTAGCTAGCAAGTAACATTTCTAAAAATCTTAAGTTCTACATATGAAAATTGGCACACAAATACCAGAAGTGAAGTTTGTCAGTATGTGCATTTGGAGTGGAGCAGACTATATAAAAAATATCTGGTTCTGGTACAAAGGATACGGGCACTGACGGCTTCAGCATCTGAGCACAGCAATCTCTTCACTTCCTTTTCCACATCGGGAGATTCAATGTACTGAAGCAAAACGTGAGAAGAAATATCAGTAGTGTCATTTAGCACCCTGTGTATTGCAGGAATGCCCTTTTCCTATATACCAATAAGTTCAAATAATTAGGCCCCATTAGGATAAGCCTGTTGCTTATCCAATCAAAGTTCTACTTCAAGTAGTACAATCGATGAAGGAATATTTAGCTATAGTCTATATTTTATACAGTTTGCTTATTTTTCCCAATTAAATTACTTGACACATTTAATCTTTTCATTGTACAGCTCTATGGTAAAAGTCTCTTTGAAAGGTTATATCCTTAGGTCTCAATTATTAATTATTTGCCATGATTTATATTGACAAAGAGCTATCATACCTTATCAGTTATGCAGAAGTAGTTTGATTTAAATATGTAAATTCCTAGATTTCACTTCCCCATATTTTGTTATTAGATATATTCCTACAAAAAAACTGGATCTTAGCTAAATGTTCTCCCTTGAATCCAGTTTTAGACAATTATCTTCACAGTAACCAAGTCATCATGCCACAAATAAAAATTAAAAGTTTGAGGGGAAATAAGATCTTGCAAACAACTGATAAAAGTGAATCCTGGCTCCCAAAGAATGGCTAAAAACTCAGAAAAAAAAGTAGATTAGAATACAGAGTCAGTGACCAAATTGTATCTTTTCCTCTAGCGATTACTGGACATAAAACAATGAATTCCTTTCTTAGTGAGTTAATCTCGTGTGTGTGTGTGGAAGGGAAGGTTGAAGTTGAGAAGGCAGGCCCAGAAGTAACCATTATAATTTATTTCATTTGATTGAAACTAATTAGCTATTAAAACACACTAAAGGCAAATAATGAAGTTATAGTGTAATTGCTTTATCTCAGTAAAGCTGATTTCTTTAATTTGTTTGAAATCAGTGAGCTATGAAATGAAACACAATAAACAAAAAAGAATTCTATGATTGCTGTCCTTCTGTAAAACTGAAAGAGCTCTATAGAATTCAATAAATGCTGTTGACTGACAGAGCATAAAGCTGAGGCAACATGTATGTTAAAGAATTCAAAATAGTAAAAACATTTACTTGGTTCTCCCCAAATTGGTCTGTAATTTTAATATAATTCCTATAAAAAAAATCCAGCCAGGTTTTGTAGACATACACAAACTTATTCTGAAATTTATATGGAAAGGTATAAGCTCCAGAATGGCTAAAACAGTCCTTTTTTTTGAGACAGGGTCTCACTATGCAGTTCAGGCTGGCCTTGAACTCACTATATAGCCCAGGCTGGCCTTGAACTCATGGTGATCCTCCTGCCTCAGCTTCCCCAGTGCTGGGATTACACACATACACCACCACACCGGCCCTGGTAAAACAGTCTTGACAAAGAAAAATGAAGTGGGATAATCAATCCTATGACTTCAAGACCTATCACATTGTGATATAAATAGAGAGATTGACACATGAATCAGTGGAACAGAATAAAGAACTCAGAAAACAGCTCACACAAATACACCCAACTGATTTTGGGTGAAGGTGCAAAGACAATACAGTGGAGGAAGGAAAACAAATGGTACTGGAGCAATCTGACATCTTTAAACTAAGCTTTATACTTTTACAAAATTAACTAAAAATGGACTATAGGTAGGCTTAAATATAAAATGTAAAACTTAGAAAAAACAGGAGAAAATCTTCAGGATCTGGATGAGACAAAGACCTCTCAAATTTAACATACAAAGAACAAAATCCTTAAAAGAAAAAAATCATAAATTGGGCCTCATCAAAACTAAAAACTTTTGTGTCGGGCATAGTGGCACACACCTATAATCCCAGGACTTGGAAGGCTGAGGCAGGAGGAGTGCCACGAGTTTGAGGCCAGCCTGGGCTATATAAATGAGTTCAAGGCCAGCCTGAACTACATGGCAAGACTTGTCTAAAAAAAAGAAAACAACTGAAGACTTTTGCCTTTCAGAGGTCTTGTGATCAGGATGAAAAGACAAGCTATAGGCTGACAGAAGATATTTGCAAACCATCTGACAAAATAGTAGTATTTAGAATATGAAAAGAATTCTTAAGACTCAACAATAAAAAGACATTTTAGAACATGAGCAAAAGGCATGAACAATTAACTGAAGTGGATATACAGATATAATATGAGCTTATGATGTGTTCAATGTCATTAGCTATCAGGGAAATGTAAATTAATACCACAATGAGATCAGTATACATTTATCACTAATGTAGTGATAGAATGTAGTGATACAATGGCTAAAATAAAAAACAGTGACAACATTTAATGCTGCTGGGGGGGTGAATAAATTAAATCACTTATATATTATTGATGGGAATATGAAATGGTATATCCTCCAACAACACTGTATCAGTTTCTTGTAAAACTAAACATGCAACTAGCATATAACTCAGAAATTGTACTCCTTGGCATTTATCCCAGAGAAATGAAGACTTATGTTCACTTAAAAACCTATTCATAACTGCATAACAGTCAAAACCTAGACAACCCAGATGTTCTTTAATGAATGCAGCCTTAACCCATTGCATTCATACCATGGAATATGACTCCACAATTTAAAAAAGGAGCCAGCTATTGATATAAGTAAAAACTTACACGTATCTTGAGGGGATTATGCTGAGAGGGGAAGAAAAATTAATCTCAGATGTTATATACTCTCATATAATATCCTAAAAATGACAAAATTATAGAGATAGAGAACAAATGAATGGTTACCAGGTATTAAGGACTAGGGATGGAATCCAGAGGTGTATAAAAGAGCAGGATAAGAGATCTTTGTGGTGATGGAATTACTTAGAATCCTGAATGTGTAAATGAATAGATGAACTCACACTCTGGGATAAAACTGCATAGACCTAAACACACACACACATACACACACACGTGATTTGAATAAGATTGGTGAATTGTAATGATGGTAGTTTTCTGTTTGTGATATTGTACTATAGTTTTGCAAAATGTTACAATGGGACAAACAAGGGGTACATAGCATCCTCAGTTCTTAAACTGCATGTGAGTCTATAAATATTTCAAAATAAAATGTTAAATTGAACAAAAAAGCCAAACCATAATGTTTCTGCAGTTTGCCCAAGTTTCTACAAGCCTGCAATAAGGTTAGGCACATAAGCACAATTCCCAATCCTCAGGTCCTAGATGGAGTCACTTTTAAACTAGGTCTTACAATTGAAAACTAAAAGGATGAGGGGCTGGGGATTTAGCTCAGCGGCAAAGCGCCTGCCTGGCAAGCGCAAGGTCGTGAGTTCGGTTCCCGGTACCGGAGAAAAACCAAAAAAAAAACCAAAAAAAAAAAAAAAAAAAAGAAAACTAAAAGGATGAACAGAAGTTGCAAATGCATGATCCTTCCAGATCCATGACAACTAGCCTGTACCTGTAAAGATCTGGTCTGTTTTTATTCAGTGCTGTATTCCCAACTGCTAGCACACAGTGACGGGCATTTACCTCACACTCAACAAATGTTTACTGAACATATAAATGAATGAACAAACTAATTCCCACCTGACTTTCCCTCTTTCTTTTCCACTCATAACCCTCTTCGAATCCACCCAACAGACACATAAATATGAGACTAACCTTTTTTTGTGTTTTCCGGAACCTTCTCTTTCTGACATTCTTAAGTGGTGGAGTAACTAAAAATAAACACAATTGGGAAACATATATGACTGATGGTAGGCAAATGCCTATCTGAATTTGATAAAGAGCCACTGGAGCATATGTCTCTTCCCTTTTAAAAGCATATATGAGCTGAATGAACCAGGAGAAAGACCTGATTCATAAGAAATTAGGATTGAGCAGATAAATATAGTAGGCTATAATAAGCAATGGGCTGGTGACTTACGTCCATGCTTCCAGATATATTTTTTGTCTCTTTCCTTATTCCTGGTTACACTAAGCTCAGAGGAGGTAGCCGGTTCTTCCACAGGAGAGGGGAGGTCCTTAGCAGCACTGCACACAAGCATCTACATTTAGCAAAGACAAAGAAGCTAACTATGGTCATGAATCTTGGGTTATGATCAATCACCACCAGAAATCCTGTCATTTCCAAAAAAAAAAAAAACAAGTATTATGTAATACATTCATATTCCTTTATATTTCTCTCTCCCTCCCTCTCTCTCTCTCTTTCTCTCTCTCCCTCTTTCTCTTCTCTCTCTCCCTCCCTCCCTCTCCTCTCTCTCCCAGCAGCACTGTATATCAACTTGAGTTTTTAAGTTACAGTGCTTACCACTGCAGAGGGAATATGCTGAAAATACATATATCTTAACATTTTGATTTATAGAGGAAATAAGAAATCAACAGCAGAGATATAAGAAGCAATTGGTAGAAAGCTCAGAAGAAGATCCCAGCTGCTCATATTTTTAAATTAATAAAAGTCACTATAAATGCCAAACAGGGAGCAGTACAAGCCACTTGGATAAAATGTGGCAGTAAAAAGTTAAGGATCAAACATTGAACCAAAGCGTGACATTTTATTCCTGTGCAATTGATGTGGAAATTAGAAGTGGCAGGCAGCCATTCAGTTGGACGGTACTGAAAGAAAGGAAAAGGAAAGAGAAAGAAATTCCTTGAAGGATGTAAGATCCAGAAAAAGAAAGTTCATACCTGGGAAATATCTGCTGTTTTATAAAAGTTCTTTTTGTCAAAAGTTTTCAGACTTTCAACAACACAAGGCAAATCAACCAGCTTAGCGGATAGTGACACATCTTCTACCTGAACAACTGCATGGCATCCATCAGCTAAATAGGAGTAGAGAAGATTAATGTTGACATCTTCCCAAAGAACTTTTGTACATCCCAGGATTTGAATAATGAAGACTTTCATGATACAGATTAGGTTTCCAGTGAAAGCTACTATTTCTCAAAATGCTAAAACAGTTACAAGATGAGTAACTTCCCAAAGAAAAGAAGGGACTGGGACTGTATGGAGCTCTTCTGTCCCAATTTGTGTCACCCATTCCAAAGTAGTAATGCAAGTGAACTAAATGGGAGTGAAGCAGTAAATGCTTCATTCTCACCCTAAAAGGTAAATGCCACTCATTTACACACATTTCTTTTATTAGAAGCATTCAATCATGTCGTCATACGTGTGTGTTTTCAAAGGGATGGATGTGGTCCTAGGATGGTGCTAAGTATCAAGGTAAAATCTGTAGTTGGAGCTGGACAAGGTGGCACACACCTGTAATCCCAGTACTTGGGAGGCTGAGGTAGGAGGAGCACCACAAGTTGGAGGCTAGCCAGGGCTACATAGTGAGTTCAAGGCCAGCCTGGAGTACATAGTGAGACCCTGCCTCAAAAAAACCAAAACCAAAAAAAATACTACAAATTTTATTTCTGTTTGTTTATTTATTTATTTATTTACTGGTGATGTAGGCAGATAAGCCTTGTATGAGAGCATTATTATTTTTGCTTTGGGATCTTTTAAAAGTTAGTATCATCTTGAATTAATAAATCATAACTAGATTACATTTATGGAGTACAATATGGTGTTTTGATACATTTATACAATGTAGAATGATTAAATCAAGCTAATTAACACCAAACATTTTTCGGAGTAATACACTTAAAATTTACTCTCTTCATTATTTTGAAATATACATTATTATTGATATAATCACCTTGCTGTGCAAATGATATCAAAACGTATCCTTTCTCACCAGCCAAAACATTGTACCTTTTGACCAGCAACTCCTCATTTTCTTCTCCCCTAAACTCTCACCAGTCTCTGGAAGCCATTATTTTATTCTCTACTATGAATTCAGTTTTTTTAGATTCCATATAAAAGTGAGATCATGTGTTATTTGTCTTTCTATGCCTGGCTTATTTCTCTTAGCATAATGTTCTCTAGATTCATCCCTGTGGTCCCAGTTGACAGAATTCATTCTTTTTTAAGATTGAATAGTAGTCCATTGTGTATATATACCACATTTTTAAATTCCCATTGTATATATATACCACATTTTCTTTATCCATTTATCTCATGATGAATACTTAGGCTGATTCCATATTTGGGCTATTAGAAGCAGTGCTACATAGGATTGTGCCTATCCCTTCAATGTACTAATTTTAATTCCTTTGGATATATTCCCACAGTGGGATTGTGGGGGTCATATAGTATTTCTATTTTTAGTTTTTTAAGGAACCTCTATACTGTTTTTCATAATGGCTGTCCTAATGTACATTTCCACCAACAATGTGCCAGAGTTTCCTTTTCTGTCCATCTTCACCAGAATGTATCTTTGTTCTTTTTGATAAAAGCCATAGTAGCAAGTGTGAGGTGATATCTCATAGTGGTTTGAACCTTCATTTCCCTTATGATTATGATGTTGAGCATTTTTTCATAAACCTGTGGGCTATTTGTAAGTTTTCCTTTGAGAAGTATCTGTTCAGGTCCTTTGCCCATTTTTGATTGGGCTATTTGGTTTTTTGCAATTGAGGAAAACTTCTTATATATTTTGGATATTACCTTCTTACCAAATGTACAATTTGCAAATATAAAAATATTAAAGAAATAGATGTGTTACTTTTGTAAATAGTGAATGGCATGTTCATCACGCCTTTTGACATTCAGAAATCACAAAGCTTATATATAGGAGATTACCAACTGAATGAAAATCTCACAGTTGATATCCAAGCTCTTCTTTGTGTACACTGTGATAACTACCACAAGTTGCATACTTCATACTTCCTTTCCCCTTAAAAAAGGTGTAAGTGACTCAAGGCTCTCTGAACTGTGAGTCCATTAAAATAGAGGCCATATTCTATCTTTTTCACATCTTTAGCACCTAGTATAGTGCTTAGCATATAGCAATTCTTTAATAAATGAGTGCTGAATGGATATTAATTACTTACAAGCTAAGTCAATTTTGATTTTATCCTTCACGCTGACACCTCCAGAGTGCATTATGTTCCTGACAGCACAAGCCTGTTCCTAAAAAGGAGGTAAACGAAAAATCAGGATTGTCTGTTTAGCAGTTAACAGATATACCAAAGAGAACCCTCCCTTAAATGAAACTTTGTATCTCCCAAATGTTACCAACAATGTACCATGAGAGACGCCATTGTATACTTCAAGTTAGGATGAAGCCAACTGTAATTTCATCATTTGTCGTTTAGTAGTTATAGTTAGTGCCATCTACCAGTTCTACATTTCTGCTTTTCACTGCTCCTCTTAAGTTACAGGCACTAAAAAAGGCTTAGCTACAGTTTACTAGGTATATTAATGAACTTCAATTGGACAAATACCTCTCTGAACCCCATCCATAACATATATTCCTAAATAATGCCTGAATATAGTTATCAGTCAGGTAAGAGGTTCAAACATAATGTTAAGATGTGCTTTAATAACCTCACAGGGTGATGAATTTACAGGAGATACCATGATAGTCATTTTTACTACCCTTTTTAAGAACAGAAAGAATTTTAGAAGAGTCTTGGCTACCCAAGGAACAAGCTGTTAGTGTCCACGATAAGTGGCTGGCCCTATTGTTTTCACAGCCCTTTGGCCAGAAAATCAACCCACATAATCGGTTGTATTCACAGGATCAAAGAAACTGTGCAAGAAGGATACATAGTAGAATTGGGCTGCTTAACAGAATATGATTGCTGAGAAACAAATGTTCTGAATTTTTATAGCTTGAAAAAAAATGCTGCAAAATCAAAGTATACTTTTGGTCTGCAGACATTTGCTCTGATAACCAAAGGTTTCTTACCAGAGGCAGACGCAATATGAACTGGTTTTCGAGTTCATGAGGAGGTTCATCTTGGCTTTTACTCATACTCATGGCTTGTTTTTGAGTTCATGAAAACAAAAAGAAAGTCAACAATTATTAAAAGCTACTCTTGCTCCCTCTGCTGACCACTTCTAGGAGTACCGGTTAAATTACTACAGAAATTCTTCCTCATAATCCTCACTGGAATGGTGCATGTACAGTTCAGCAATAACTTGTTTGACATATCTTTTTATTTCTAAAAGTCACCTTATGTCCCTGCTAATATGTACAGATTTTCAAGAGTCAGTATAAAATACATTATGTAATTTGATGAACAGATGACCTAAGAGCTGATATGAAACATGATTTAGTCTTAATAATATTCTTAGACTCTCACGTAAAGAAGTAAAATTCAACACACAGCGGTGGCAACCTAAGCAAACTACATGACCTCATCAGGGAAGAGGAGAAGGCAGAAGTAACCCAGAAACCACTTGCAGAAATGTTCTATGATGACTTCATGTAAATAAAAGCTTAATTTTCAATATTTCATTCACCTTAAGGAACTGATAGAAATTTAGAGACAACAAGCAGATTTTTATGACTCTAACAAGCACATCCAACCTACAGCCTGCCATTTTCCCCCATTTTTGAGTGAAAAGGAATTGTCTTGAGCTGCATACAAAATATATGATATAGTTGATGTAGATAAGTAATAAAACTTCCTTTTGAAAATATTTTTATTATAACATTGAAAAATGAGGGGGGAAATGGGTCATAGGTAAGAGCTCACATCAACAGCTCTTATCTACCTTGGGGAAAAAAAACAGGAGTCCAGTTCTTAAAACTTGGCTGTGTGAATGAGTATACCTGACTTCATAGAATAGTTGCATTCCTCAAGTAGTGATACAAATAGAACTAAAAATTTGACTTAATTTATTCACTACTAATATTTTTGGCATTTGTTCTATGTACCTCACACTACCATTGAGTGCTTTAGGTCTATTATTTCATTTAATCCTCAAAAAAGCTACTCATTTGAAATACCCCTAAAAGCTATTTAAACGACCCTCAGATGGATCCTTTTATTTTTAAAAATACACCTTCATAAAAGTAAATCATCTTCATCCAAGTTAGTAGGTTTTTTTGACAATATAATCATATATAATGATGGAGTACATAGTACTATTATGGTACACGTACACGATGTGACAAGATTGCATCAAGCTAAAATAAATACTCATAATTTATTCCTAAGTGCAACTAAGTGCAACTTTGTACCTTTTGACCAACATCGCCTGATTCCCCGCACTCACCAGCCCCCAATACCTACCATTCTACGCTTTGCTTCTGTGAGTCTGCTCATTTTAGATTCCACATATACAAGTGAGAACATGCTGTTCTTGAGAACATGTGGTTTTTGTCTTTTTGTGCCTGACTTACTTTACTTAGCATAATGTCCTCCAGATTCACCCATGTCACAGATGACAAAGTTGTGGTTTTTTTTAAAGGCTGAATAGTATTCCACTGTATATACAGACCATGTTTTCTTTATCCATTTATCCACTGAAGAACACCTAGGCTGAGTCTGTAAGCTGGCTATTGCAAATAATGCTGCAATGAACATGTGAGTGCAGATCTCTCTTTGACATACTGATTTCAAGCCCTGAAGTGGGATTTTAAGATCTCAAGTTAATCTTTATTTATAATCTTATTTTCCATTCATTTAGGATATATCTGTAGTGGCTTGCATTTTAGGTTTTGGGGCACATACTTCTGATGACGTTTTTGGTCAAATATTGAAGAATGCAATGTATGTATATGAAACTTGGCAAAGGTTTTTTATGTCCCAAAAACATTATGATATACACCAAGTTATAAGATCTTTTACCTAAAGGTAAAGTGAAAATTTTCAGTTAATGCATTTGTTGGTAACCTGTAAAGCATTAACTGGGGTCTGAGTTTTGAACCTGAATCTTACTTAAAAGCATTGGTGCCTTCTTTTAACACATAGAAGTGGGTCTGGGACCCTACTGGGGTGAAATTATTCATTTGCCATGAAATAAATCCTTTAGTATAACTTTAGAAAGTATCAGAAAGGTATAGAAAGCACAAAGTCAGCAGTGAAAAAGACACACAAGATGTAGGTGGCTGATGCATTATTTGTGATAGTCATTTCTTTTCTTTTTGCTTATAAATATATATGTACACATACATATATAAATATAAAAATGAAAAAGTAAATATAAGAAAGAAGTTAAAGTAAATGAAATAAAGACTCTTGGGGCTGGGCACACTGCCTAATCAGAGAAAGTAGGAAAGACTTCAAGTTGGACGCAGAAGCACAGATTATCTGAAGTCGCTGCTAAGCAAGATTTTATCACATCAATAGTAACTTTTAGAGTTCTCAGCAGAACTAAGACTAGAGCATTTTGTTCATTTCACTGCCTTTCTGGCAACTCCTCTTTTATGGAAGAAAGAAACTTAAGAACTGAAACTATTTCGAAGAAGTTCCTTGTAAATCACCCAAATAAAAGGTCTGGTGAGAGAGAAGGTGGAAACCCTGCTTGAAATGAGTTTTAATTATTTTTACATTTTGTAACCTACATGGACCCAAAGGCCTGTACAGTATTTACTGTAAGAAATGCATACACTTTTTCCCAGCAAGCGCTCTTTGATGCCTGATTAAATGAACAGGTCCTCTCTCCCCCATTCACCCTTAACTCCGTCTCACTTTAGCAGAATTGCAATTGGGATTAACTAGAAGAAAGTCGTCTAGCAGCAGGCTCCAGGTAGCCCGAGTCAGCATAAACCCGAGGTCAGTACATGTTTCAAGTTCATACAGTTCGTGCAGTTGGGAGGCAGTGACCACGTCCCGCACATTCTTGATCTCCGGGCCACTAAACTTCTAAGGGAAGAGTTCCGCCTCTAGAGGTTTCTGCCGTCTCCCTAGCAAATCTCCCGCGGGGAGAAGGAGCCCCAGCTTCGCACCTCGCAGTGCAGGCGGGCTCAGCGAGGCGCGCTGCCCCGCCGCCCGACGAGCGGCCCCGGAGCCCTCCCGCCCGCCTCGCTCACCGGCTCCTCCACCGCCTCGCTCCGCTGCGAGAAGACTGCGGGCTGGGTCCTGCGTCTCTGCCTGTTGAGTCCCCGGCGGGCGGGCAGCGAGTGGGCTCCTGCTCCGGCCGCAGGGGAGGGCAAGCGGCGG